AAAATGTATAAATAAATTATATGTATGTGTATCAGAAAATTATTAAGATGAAATGAAATTATTGTTTGATTTCTAACCAAACCTATGTATGTTGTAACTCAATCGCCTAATGGTTTGCCGAACCGTAAACATATGTTTACACATCCAATTTCGTGAGTAGGTATCTGGTACTCACACCTTTTTTTAAGAAGTTTCACTTCTATCATGTGTACGGTGTTACACACGATTTTTTTTTTTTAATTTGGTTTAATTTTTAAGTATTGTTTTCTTTTTTGGTTTATTTTTTTTAACTTAATTTTCTTTTAGTTTTTAGATTTTATTGTTTAAAAAAAAAAATTTATTTTTTTTTTTCAATTAATTTTTAAAAATATTTATTTTTGCTTTATTTTCATTTTATTTCGTTTCTCTTGTAAAATTATTTTCTTTTGTTTATTAGTTTTTACTGTTTTAACAAGAAAAATATATATATTGTTTTAATTCAATTTAATTTTTAAATAACTTATTGCTATAAGGCGAATAGCACGACGCTAAGACCTCCTCGTTAGCAGGTCTTTCTATTTGTCTTTCGAGGGAGAGTAACGAGCTTTCCAGATAAGTAGTTGCCAGAATTGACAATTGGTTTACGAAAGACTTTCCTTTTGAAAAGACTGTGGTGAGTTGAAAGACAGCTGCCAGAATTGCGCTGTTAAGTTAAGTTATTCTGCTAACTGTTTGACATATTTCCAAGTGTACCCAAAAGTATACTTTACAATCGTATGCACATAATAGTTTGTTATCATGACGAAATTGTAACTCAATAGCTTTCACAAGCTTTTTCACTCAAACAACTTACCAACTGTGAAGAGTTGCAATTTTTCAAATTGACCGCCACTTGACTTTTTGGTTAAGCCATACGCTCATACATGCTAGACGTACGCGCAACTTAGAAGCGCCTGAGTGCACACATTGATACAAGTTATGGCGCTTGAAAGTATGCAACAATAGTGAAAGTATGTAAAGGGCAACGATGAGGAAAGCAGGATGAAGAGTAGGTACAAAACGGCTGGCAAGTCGTGGGAGTCGAGGAAAATATTAGAGAAATATTTAAGTAAGTAGCATAAAAAATATGAGAGGTAGGCAAGGACTTACGCCACTTGCAAAATAAACAACTAATATGTACTCAATATAGGAACATGTACATATGTATGTATGTATGTCTTCCGCATATAGCGAACGCGACAACAACAATGAATACAATAAAGCAGTCAGCAAAAATTTTGCAAATAACAATGACGACAAACTTTTTACAAGTTTGCTCCGCTGAGCGTTCAATATCAGCCGGAAGTGGGTGATAACTCAGACGTAAACAGAAAAATAACAGCAACAACAGAAACAAAAGTAGCTATAAACTCCACAAAAACAAACGGAAAAGAGAAGTTGGAGGATTACATTGAAAGTGAAAATTGTAGCCATATCACGAATAAACCATAAAACAGCAATACAAAGACGATAAAAAAGTAAATATGTAGCAACAAATAAGCAGAAACTAAAAAGCGCCACGAATGCATGAAAAGCAAATTTGGCCAAAATAGCTGCATAAAAAGAAACATAAATTCAACAAAGGCGTCAATAGCAATGACATTGCCAAAGCACACAAACCAAACAATGAAAGTGTCAGAGTGGCAAGTGAAAACGAACGCACCACTAATGGTGACAACAAGCACCCACTCACCCACACGCCCACACACCCACACGCCCACACAACTAAAACTACCAACCAACCGTAACTGATTCGCTTCCTTTCAAGTTTTGTGTGCCTTTGCGTTTAGTTGTTGTATCATAGTTTTTTTTTTTTTTTGTATTGCCAAATATATGCTTGGCAATTGTCCCTGAAATTTACGGGCAAAACTGCAATAAATCTTTGGCAAAACGACAACAAATAATACTCGATTGTTGTTTTTTTTTTTTTTGTTAGGTCGCCTAGGCTTAGGTGCGCACTTCAAAGCTGCTATGTACCGCAGCTGTGTGCTTTCGTTTTTTGGCTTTCTGGCTTCCCTTGGTTGGCTTGTCCAAAAGTTTTTGACTTTCACAAACAAAGAAGAATTGGTTTGCAATTATTTTTGAATTGCAACAAGGCGATAGGAGATCTAACTAACTACACGTGGCGGAATAAAACATTCTGCGTTGGTAATCGTAGAAAAATGTTCGACGGTAGGAAGGAGCTAAAAATCAAAGTAAATAAAAGTGTACGAAAGAAGGTAAAAAAAAAAACAAATTTCTGCAACTAAAGTGCCCAGATATTCATTTGCTTAAAGAAAGTATAGCACAAGCACATTGGATATTCGCTGAAGATATGTAACTGAAAATGTGGACATTTAAGGTCATTGAAAGTCGCTGCCTGATTTGCTTTTGAGCTTAGCCCCGAGCCTTGGGGATGCGTTGAGACAATGTGGGTATTTGGTCGGTTGTTGGTGAAAAGTTTCGAATGTGACAAAATACACAACTGGGAAAATTTACTGAAAATAAATTAGATAGCTCAGCAGCGCAGAAAACGCTTAAGGTTTAAGTATTGGGAGACGCAAAAAATATGCTCCCTAAATAATCACTGATGTGATTAGGGATTTTTTTTGAAAAGTTAAGTGAAGGAAAATTTCGCAATGCAGGACGCAATTAACTCTAGGACCTTTGTGAAACCCTGCGCATTGTATTTACTCTGACCCCTTTAACCAATTCGTACTTGGAATATTTTTACATCCAGTTAGTTTTTGAATGACCAAAAACTTAATGCCAGTTTTTAAGTGAGCAAAAATTTATGTCATGCGTTTTTCAGTGATCAAAAATTTATGGCCAATTGTTAGGTTACTAAAAATTTATGTCCACTTTTTAAATGCCAAAAATTAATTTCTAGCTTGAAAGTGACCAAAAATTTATGGCAAAAAATGTATATGTATCTTATTTCAAGTGAACACAATTGTTCGCCCAAAACTTATAATAAGCTTTCAAAATACCACAAACTTATGTCTAGTTTTTAAATGCCCAAATATGAATTGCCAGTTTTTAAGCCATAATATAATAACTGACCAAAAATAAATAAATAAGGTTTTATATGACAAAAATTTATGTCTAGTTATTAAATATCAAAAATTTATGTCCAGTTTTTAAGTGTTCGAAAAGTTATATCACGCGTTTCTGAGTGATCAAAATTTGATGGTCAGCTTTTAAGTAACTAAAAATTTGTGTATATCCACTATTTAAATTACAAAAATGTATGCCTGGTTAGTATGGCCAGTTTTTAAATTACAAGAAATGTATGTTTAAATGGCCAAAACTTGTTTGCCCGAAACTAGTTTTCAAAATATCTACCACAAATTTATGACCAGTTTTCAGATGAACAAAAACATGATGAACATTTTTGACTAAAATTTATTGCCATTTTTTAAGTTACCAAAAATAAATGGGCATTTGTAAGTGATAAAAAATGTGTGCCTAATTTTTAAGTGATTAAAAATTTATGTCCAGTTTTGAAATGTCCAAAAATGTATGTCCAGTTTTTTTGACCTCAAATTTATGTCCCATTTCAAATAACCCAAAATGTTTGCGCAAAAATGATACCCAGCTTTCAAAAAGAACCACATATTTATGTCCAGTTTTCAAATTTTCAAAACTTTTTGTCCATTATAAAGAATTTAGTATTTTTTAAATTTATCGAATTATCGATATGTTTGAAATTGTCGAAATTGCAACTGGTATGTATCGGATGAACTCCAAGGCCTGACAACGTCCTCCGAAGACCTTGAAAAATATAAACACATTTAGCCACGTTTCAATTTCAAAGCAGCAGATTTTCCGATAACTAATTTTATACCTTATAAGTTTTTCCAAGGTTTTCCAAAAACTAGAAAAATGGTCGAATCTCGGCACCCTAAGTTTCTACAAAACTGCATCCGGTTCGGTGTTTGTTTAGACATTCGATTATAGTTGAGTTCTTAAACCAATTCGATTCGAAATTCACCAAAGTAACTCAGTCACTTTAAGAAGTTCAAATAAGTAAATTCCACAATTCTTATTAATTCAATTCCTTTCATTCAACGCCTGTAAATCTCATAAATTTTCATTTACTTCTGCTGCAATAAAAGAATAAAATTCAGAAATGGAATAAAGAAATAAGAAATAACATTTCGCTTAACGCTCGGTTGCACACATAAAATTCTACAGAGAAACCTAAACGCAGCTGAAGTGAAACGAACGAGCAACGACGATTTGAGTTGTACGAGTATTAGTCGCAGATAGAGATGCAACGCGCACCGACTTGAGTCGAGTTGAGCGCGGAAGTGAAGCGTAACTACGCGCCATTTCTTAGCATTTATTTATAACGTAACGCGCGCCCTCAGGCGGCAAGAGTTACCCGCAAAGGATAAAAGAAAAAATAGGAATGATACCAACAGAGGGAAAGAAGATTGGCTAACTTGGGTAGCCGGCCCATGCGGTGTGGCGCTCGCGCTAGATGTGTGTGCCACAAATTCCAGTGTGTGAGTGCGAATCAAAGTATACGGCAGCAAAAACTTGCTTTATGTCAGTAGATGTTGGAAAAGACGCTCTTTTGCGTGCGGCAGGATAATATGTGTGTGGATAAACGAGGCAATGCCAAGGTCCTAGGCAACGAGTTAGTTGAGTCGTAGCGCGCGTGAGCCAAAGGCGAATCGCAGCCGCTAAGCCTCAACGTTGCCGCCTAAGAAGGCATAGTAACAGCGTAACATTAGCAAATTAAGCAAAGAGCAAAAAAGTTGCCGCGCCAAGTTGAGTGAAGTGGAAAAATGTAATTAGCGTTGATTTGAAACAGAACCTCTTTTGTGGAGGCATGTAAATTGCGAATGAATGCAATGAAAGCAAAAAGTTCTCATAAAAGTCTTACTTTGTACGCCTTAATTATATTGCTTTACCTACGTACATACATAAATACATTCGCATACATTTGAGCTATTTACTATCTACTCACAATCTCCTCTTCTATCTCTTTTCAGCATGGGCATCCAGCTGCAACATGGCCACTCACATGGTGGCATGGCCTCTGCTTCGCACGGCCATAGTCATGGTGGCAAGACGAAACAAACGAGTGGTAAAAAAGTTGCTAATATTCAAGCGGCAAATGATAGCTGTAGCGGCAACTTGACGCTCACCCCCACCACTACAAAGCCAGCCGCGAGTGCTGAAAAACGCTATGTGGCCGGACCGACGTGCTCACCAACTGGTCCCTGCGCCTTGCCGGCGCCCCAACGTCCGCTAGAAGATGGCGCCGGCGAGCTGGAGTTGGACGCTAACGATGCCGCAATGCCAGTTTCTGGTTTGTCCACTTTCTCCTATCAGAACTCGACTTCGTTAAGGGAGGTGCATGCGGAGGTTGCTGCGGTTATGGCGGAGACGGCAGCTGGCGCGCATCATCACGGCGGCTCGGCGGCACGTGATGCTGAAAATTTGAATGTACGCGCTGCTTTCATACATGTCGTTGGTGATATGATTCAGAGCGCCGGTGTATTTCTGGCCGCTGTGGTGATATTCTTTCGGCCAGACTGGGCGATCATCGATCCCATTTGTACATTTTTCTTCTCAATTATAGTGCTCTTCACGACGTTCTCCATCATGAAGGATGCGCTGCTGGTGAGTAAATACATTACCATGTGCCGCTTTCTATACAATATTCTTCTACAAACATTGCGAATGTGACCAGAAATAATTATTATTTGTAACAATGTTATTGCAAACATATATGTTTCTTTAAATCTAATTGATATTGCCTTTGAATGTAGCGACAAATATCAACAACATGATAATTTTATTGATACAGACACATTCATATTTATTTTTTATCGATCATTTATCGAAAATTTTAAATCCCAAATTTTTTGTCACTACCTATCATTCAGAGGTTTATGGGTGAAATCTCTCCATTTAAATTTTAATTAACTCCATTAGGAGTTTTAACAGCTCAAAAAGAAATTCTGATTTTCAAGTTAACGATTCTGGTAAGTATTTATTTGAATTGCTTTTACACAAAACTTATCCGATAAATATCGATCATTACAACTACAATGCTATCGATAAATGTAATATTTATATAGCTTAATCAGAAAAAGCTATTCTTTTCTCGATAATATTGATTATTTATCGATCACCGTAATTTTATTAATTTGGAATTATCGATTGAACTATTGTTTTTTTTTCGATAAACATCGATTATTGATCGTTAACTGCTACATTTGTAAAGTCGAATTTAGAATTATCGATTAAACTGTTTTAGAAAATTTCGCCAATCGATGAAGTGAGGGCCTAATTTATCGATTTATAAAATTAAAAACTTATCAAGAAGTGTATGCATTTGTCGCCACTCACAGAAGTATTCGTAATTTAGGTTTTTGACAATATCGAAAATGTTTTCCTTCATAAATCTAGTTCGTTAATTTTTTTATTTTTTTTTTATAACAAAAACTATACTATATAATACATATTATGTAAATCAATCTTGCAAACTTTATACAAAAATCACAAAAATTAATCAACTTCAAAAAATGTTCATCAAAATTTCAAACTTTGTATTCATAGTTTTTGCAAAAAGTATTTGCACAACAAATTTTTCATAATATATGCAACAATATTTTTTCGTCAATTTTTTTTATAAATATGGTTCATTCTACAACAAAAAACATAAAAATGTAATTCCTAAACTTTGTGCAAAGCTCACGAAAATTCAGCAAATTTTCACACAAATTTTTATTTTTTTAGAATTTTTTTTTGAGTATGCAGATTTGTAGCCCAATCAATTTTATAATAAAGTTAAGTCTTAAGTAGCTTTTTTTTAGATCTTTGGAATTTTTTTTCACGTAGTCTCTTCCATACAAAAATTTTTTTTCGAAAATAATTTATATGGAGAAAATGCAAAATACCTCAAACAAAAAAAAAATCTTAAAAATCAATGCGATTTTTTACTAATTCCGTACTTGCATTTTTTTAACTAGAATTTAATGGTCTGAAAAACTGCATACTCCAAAAATAATCTATAAACTATGATTAAAAAATTGAAAATTTGCTGAATTTTCGCGAGTTTTGCATAAAGTTTAGGAATTATATATTTATGTTTTTTGTTGCAGCATGAACCATATGCTTATAAAAAATTGGCGGAAAAATATTAGAAAGAAAATTTTTGCATATATATTGTGAAAAATTTGCTCTGCCAATACTTTTTGCCGGCAGTGTATGTACATATATCAGGGTACATCACTATCCATGAAAAATAAATTCGGTACTGTTTTCGGAATTATACAATTTCTTACATTTTCAGACTTTCGCCATAATATTTCGGAAAAATATTAAGAATTTAACAATTAATTATATTTTCAGACTTCACTTCAGACTTAACAGTTCAGAAAAATATTAAAACTTATAAAATTTATTACATTTTCAGACTTTCGGCATAATATTTCGGAAAAATATTAAGATTTATATATGTATATGAGTTGGACTGATTACCTCCAACAATTTTAATATTTTGATTTCTTTAATCTAATGTTCAAACATTTTTATGCAGGCCTTTCAAGCTCAGATAGGCGTACTTCCAAAACGTCAATTGCTTTGTATACGTACAAAGTATAAGGTTCCATAACGTCGAACTACAAAATATTGACAATGTATACTGTTCGAAAACGCAGCCGATTAGTTATCGGAACGTATCGCTTGAGCAATCAGTGCATCAGAAACAAAGTTGATGCTTCGTTTGTTATTGGTTAGCATTGGTGTTTTAAATATGGAAAATTCAGAAAAAATTTTCATTGCTATATTGAATATTTAAAATATGCAATGTATATGGTTGCAATGTGTCGCAACTCTGCATATACAAACAGTTTGAATACCGCAGTATAACAGTTTCCAAACATTGTATTGATAAGTTTTGGAAGTCAGCCATACACTCTTCTATCATCTGAGGTTATTTTGCATACAAAATTTTTTTTTTTTAATCTAATTTTATTTATATAAATAAACTATATTTGTGGAGGTCTTTTCAGTTTCGCCCAAAGCAGGTAAATAATTTAAATATAATAAGCTTTATGATTCCAGTGCAAAACCGCAACTTTGTTTGGTAATGCACCCTATGTATGCATGTATCTGCTTAAAAATTGTATTGATAAATGTAGTATTTCTATTAAATATTTCCCTATAAAATATCGACAACTTTAAAGACAAATCACAAAATAAATTCATGCTATAAATTTGTTATCGAAATCTAAGATGTCGATCATTAAATATCGATAAATTTTACTTTAATTTCATCAAAGCAGCTGTCGGTAACATTAGGAACTATGTAGTTTGAAATTCTATAAGGCCTGTATAGGATAATCGAAAAAAATCTAGATTAGTGTATCTAGATTGTATGTATGATTAAATCTACATTTTAGAGTGTCCTAAAAAATCTGTTTCACATCAAATCGTCAGGTGTGCCAATAATACTCTTTTTCAATTTTATTATTTCTTCGTTTATTTTTCTGACCTTAATTATTTCTCACACCTTTTCCCCAAAATTCTTCACCTTTCATTTTCCATTGTCAACGTAAAGTCAACAAATTGTTTACACTTTTATTTTGCTTTCATTGTTTTCATGGCCTACTTTACAATCTCGTAGGCCGTTTAAATTTGATTATCCTGTTAACAGTTTTGACTACTGCAATAACAATAGCATTTACAGTTAAACGCACTAATATTTGCTTTGCATACTTACAATTCGTTGTTTTCATTTTGTTTCTTTTTCTTTTCATTTGCTTGCTTGGCTGCCAACTCTGCGTCAACCACCAACCACCAACCAAACCAACAACACGCAAACCAAACTCGCAACTCCTGCCCACGCACACACATTTACGCAAATGCGTGTAAATTAATGGCACCTACTACCGGACTGACTTTGGCCACCTCTGTGGCTTCGCGTGCAACTGTCGTCCTCCTGGCTTTTCTTGGCTTGGCTTGGCTTGGCTGCGGCTGTGACTGTGGTTGTGGGCTGTGTTGTGACTATGGCTGTTGCTGTCTCGATGGCTATTGTTGCTGTTCCGCGCTGCTAAAATGATAAATAGGTTCTAATGGAAGGTACACCCAGCTACATGCACTACACCGAGGTACTCGAAGTCTTCGAACATATTGAGGGTGTGAGACGTGTGCATAATTTGCGTATTTGGGCGTTAAGCATTAATAAAGTCGCGCTCTCCGTGCACTTGGCCATTGGTGAGTACAACTACTACATAGTTACATACTAACACTATATTTTGCTATGCCATGTTATGCAATGTTAACTAACCACAATAATGGGTACTCGTACGTGCAATAAGAAATAACACTTGTACGCCCCCTGTAATGCATTTGTACGAATGTGTAAGGCAGCTAACAGAAGAGCACACAAAAAAAAATACACTAACAACACTAATGTGGGTACTATTTACATATGTATGTACATACAAACACATTCATGTAAAGGCGTGTGAAATAATCGCTTGTTGTATACATACAACAATAACACAGAGTAATGACGCACTGCTTCGGTGTGAACAATGGCAACAGTAAAGCATAAATCAAGGCGTTGTGCCTGGCTGAGCTGGCTCGGCTGTACGGGCAAGCGTTTGTATGCATGTATGTATGTATGGGTGTAACTGAGAATGAGTTTGGAATGTGTGCGGGCGAGAGCGAAAAAATTTGTTTGTTCAAACATATGTAAGCACCTATACTTATGGATATACCTACATACATAATCATTTCCTTTCGTACAAACAGTTGTCCTCCTTTCCAGTTATTTTAAGCTAATAATTATCATTGTTGGCCTCGTTTATATTGTGCTTCCTGCTGCCTTTATTGCATACCCCTTGACATTGCGTTCCAGTTATTCATATTTGTTAAAAGGTTGTAATTAGTTTAATGTTCGTGTTTGGTTTGTTTTGTTGTAGTATGCTCAATGATGCTTAAAGGGTTAAGTGCTTTGATGTTAATCATAATATAAAATGCTGTGGTTCTAGTGGTTTTGATAGCATTTTAAGTGCTTACATAAAAAATTAAAACAGTTGTAGTTGTACATACATACATATGTATGCAATATGTATTATGTATGTATGTACATATGCTATTTTATTCAAGAAGGGACACTCCATGGCACAATGATTAAGGGTATGAATATGAGTATGCATATGAGTGTGAGTATTAATATTAATATTAGTATAAATATGAGTATGAGTGTAAATATGAGTATGAGTATAGATATGAATATGCGTATAAGTATGAGTATGAATATGAACAGAAATTATATGAATATATATATGAATATGAGAAGGAGTATGAATATGGATATGAGCATGAACACGAATATGAATATGAGTATAAATATGAGTATGAATATGAATATGCGTATGTGCTTGTCAAAATATCGATAAGTATAATAAAATATATTTCGATTAATATACGTGTATAGATAAATGTGGCGATATTTGCATCAATAAATACATACATCCCGCATGGCGTGTAAACACCCAAAACTTAATTTCAAAAACTTGAAAAATATTCCAAATGCTAGCCAGAGTTATAAGAGGTCCGAGTGCCAGTGAAGAGTAGTCTGGAAGAGTGCATGTTTTTAATTTCACCAAATTTCATGATGAAAAAAGTTCTCAATTAAACAAAAATAGAAAAATAGAATCGAACAAATGGCAACCCCCCTAAGTAAATGAATCATTTGAATTTGAACTGTTTAAACACTAATTAAAGATTTCTTAACATTCTTTCATTTGACTACGGTATATTTATAGTCCATGGTCTTTTTGTATTAGTTAATTGAGTTAGACCTTTCAAACAGGTGGCAGCCCTCTTCAAAATTATTTTCAAGCGTAATCCTTGTTAACTTTTCTTCGCCTGGCATTGCAATACATATTTTATTTAACTGATGAATTAGTGGAATTTGATTTTTTAAGCATGTGGCAACCCCGTTAAGTACAGTTCAGAAATAAAACCTTTTCAAACCGCCTTGGATTGGTACCCATATTTTAGTAATTCATTTAACTAACTAAATAATTCCAATTTAAATTTAAAAAAAGGTGGCAACCTCCTTCCAAAACCTCATAAATATTCTTAGCGTTCAAACTGAAGATTTTTTAACACTCCTTCGTTTTACATCCATATTTTGATGTTTCATATAATTTGTGTATAAGTAAACTAAATTCGACATTTCAAGCAGGTGGCAACCCTCGTCAAAATATTTTCAAACTACTACTTTCTGAAACCCCTTTTGTTTGGTACGCATATGGTGATACATATTTTTCTTACCTAATATTATTTTTTAAGCAGGTGGCAACCCTCCTATAGTTCAGCAAACAAACAAAGATTTTCAAAACCATTTCGGTTGATACTCATTTTGTAATAATTGATTTCTAATTTTTTATTTTAATATAATTTTTTAAGGTGGCAACTCCTTTAAAAAAAAAAAAGTAAAATCTTATTGCACATACAGTCCAAGCCTTTTAATTGGACATCTCATTTTGGAAAATCGAACGAATGGTGCGGGTATGATGGTATGCTGGTATGAAACAAAAGTATATCGGTACCTATAAAAATATCGGCAGCAGTAGAAACGAATTTATTTTAGCTCGAATCAACTTCGATCGATTACGACGAATTATACAGTTATACTCTGCTGATAACAGAAGCAACATAGACGAAAGCCCCAAAGCGCTCAACACGTTACAAAACTTTCACCGAATAGATTTTGATGCACAGCCATCCGACTCAAGGCAGTTAAGAAATGAACGAACTCACATATTTGTCACTGGAAAATTTTGAACAACTGCACTACTCGCACTACCAACATCAAGTTCCTGACGCAAATACCTGGATGGAGTTAGAAAACTGTCAAGGAATTGATGGCTATTTTAAAGGTGGCATCAGTGGTACAGTGGGGTACAAACCTCAGTCACGATGCGTGGATCAGGATTAGGAGGAAACTATCCAACATCGTTTAGCCCATTGCTCGGCAAAAGCAAAACAGAGACCATAACCTCCTGGAAGGTACTTTTTGACGTCAGAGCAATAGATATCAGAAGCCTATCCACGGCATATGGGAACACAAAGACCCTCAAAATTCTAAAATATGTCGCCCATATTTCCTTTAGCTTGATGAGATAAATATTAAAAAAAAAATTATAAAGTTTTTTACCTTTAAAGAAAAAAACTTTCCTAAATCAATGCGTTACCTTCATCCCAGATGATATGGACTGCTGAGTGGAAGATCGACCTATCTGGGCAGCCAGCTCGAAAACACGCCCTATCTCACAAAACTTTTCAAAAACGTCCTATTTCAGAATTTAGTTGAAGAATGCCTTATTTCAGAATTCGTTTCAAAAATGCGCTATCTCAGCTANCACAAAACTTTTCAAAAACGTCCTATTTCAGAATTTAGTTGAAGAATGCCCTATTTCAGAATTCGTTTCAAAAATGCGCTATCTCAGCTGCCGATTCAAAAACGCCCTATATTTATCAGCACATTTTCAATACATTTTCAAGTGAGATAGGGCATTTTTGAATCGAATTCTGAAATAAGGCGTTCTTCAACCAAATTCTGAGATAGAGTGTTTTTCAATAAAATTCTTGAAAAGTTTTTCGAGATAGGGCGTTTTCGAACTGGCTGCCGAGATATGTACTATGTCGATCTTCCACTCAGCAGTCGATGTGTAGTTGATTCAAGTCATCGGATAGTGTGTGGAATACCCCATAACCCTAAGTGCGTGTAAAAATACGTACATAGTATGTACACATATATGTATTCATACATTACCTACATATATGTACATATATCACATGCACACATTATGCTGAAGTGGATTTCAAAGCTAATTAAAGGGAATTGTATATTAAACAGAATGCTGACGAAATAAAAACGAAAGTGGCTTTAAAATTTCAAATATTTAAATATTTATTGTACGCAGTTGAGGTAGTCTTCAATTACATAATTTGAAATTATTTTTTGTGGCCCATAAAAATTGTCTTCTTTGCCTTAATATTTAACCCAAATCAATCAACAAATCTTAATTAGTTCGTGGCATCAGAAAGTAGTGCTCAGAAAAATAACCAAAAAAGCCTCGAGTACTCGAGTACATTTTTACGCCAACAACTTTTAGATACGCAAAGAAGCACCATTCGGCCATTTGATTTTTGAATATCGGACTAAACGATGTTTGACGTACATATGTATGTAGATATGTGGCCGCAAACGTACGCAAATCTCTGCTTCATGTAAACATGGGCCGGAACGATAGATAATGCAAGCTGGAAAATCAGCTATGAGAATAGAGAAGCGATATGGAAGATGAATGAATAAACAAATTCTAGGTTGCTTCAAACTAAAAAGTCTCTAACCAATTTGCAGACTCACCTTTGTTTCCCATCCAGGACACAATTTACCAGGTGGCACCATTGCATTTATATCGCATTTTTAGGCGTTCTCCCAATGGCGTTGCCAAAGTGTAGCAAAGTAATAGCAAAAATGTTGAGTAGCAAATAATATTTAGTGATGGAAATTACACTTAAACCAAATTTTTGACTTCTCTTGGGAATTGAATTTTAGTCTAGAAAAAAAGACAAAACAGTTGATATATAAATTTAAAATAATAAAATATCAGATACAACGATTTTTTAATTTTTAAACACGCTACTCAATCTGTACTTGGAGACAGAGGTTTTGAGGTCTAGAGAATTTATTTCAGCTCAGAAGCTTTGCAACTCTACTGATTTATACAGAAAAAGGATGCCCACAAAATCAAGTAAAGTTTTGCTATTCGCTCTGCTTATTTTCGACATAAGACAAAACGAAAAGGAAGAAGGTAGACTCAGAAGTTTAAACTTTCTCCTATTGTTAAAAGAGTTTTAATTTGACTGACTTTTGAAAAAATGTAGGAGCCACAATATAAACAGCTCTGTTTATTTAAGCAAACCTCAATACAATCGGAATTTCTTATCGATATATTCAAAGAAATTGTTTCCTATCGCTAATAGCTCATATCGATATACTCAACGAAATTGACTTGAATGCTTAAGTATGTGTGTATGTATGTGTGCATATCTACATATATATCGATTATTATTGTTTAATGTCGATTATTATATTTATCGACATTGTTATCGATTTATTTATTTATCGGAATTATTGCCGATATATCTTTCGGCATAGTTATCGAATTTGTTATCGATATATTAAT